TATATAGCCTCTCTACTGTTATTACACATAGGCTCTGTACCGTTACCCCCCTGTATATAGCCTCCCTACTGTTATTACACATAGGCTCTGTACCGTTACCCCCTGTATATAGCCTCCCTACTGTTATTACACATAGGCTCTGTACCGTTACCCCCCCTGTATATAGCCTCCCTACTGTTATTACACATAGGCTCTGTACCGTTACCCCCTGTATATAGCCTCCCTACTGTTATTACACATAGGCTCTGTACCGTTACCCCCCCTGTATATAGCCTCCCTACTGTTATTACACATAGGCTCTGTACCGTTACCCCCCTGTATATAGCCTCCCTACTGTTATTACACATAGGCTCTGTTCCGTTACCCCCTGTATATAGCCTCCCTACTGTTATTACACATAGGCTCTGTACCGTTACCCCCTGTATATAGCCTCCCTACTGTTATTACACATAGGCTCTGTACCGTTACCCCCTGTATATAGCCTCCCTACTGTTATTACACATAGGCTCTGTACCATTACCCCCTGTATATAGCCTCCCTATATTTTACTGCTGCTCTTTAATTATTTGCTTTTATTCTTTAAAAAATACTCAGACACTAGACACTAGACACTGTTGTACCATTGTTCAGAAATATCTGTCTCTGACACTTTATCTTTCGCTGTTTCCATGTCTGTTCTCAGCAGACTCTGTTGTACTGAGGTTTACTTTCAGAAGCAAGAATAACGGTTTATTAGTGTGCTGAAAAAGCTCAGTTGGCATTTCATCTCAATACAATTCTATTTGAAGATCAAGTTCTGACAACGTAGAGAAGAGCTGTGAGCCACAGACTAGACAGGCTTTCTGCTACTGGTGGTGTAGTTCAATCTAATCTCAATTACTGCACACTGAGACGTCCCAGAATCAGGTTTCATTTTATTAACAAGATAAAAAATTCTACTGGTTCACAGTGCACACAAAGAACTAGGTCTGTCCTTGCAGCCATGATGTCGAATGCATTCTCCGACTCTCCGACCACGAGAGTGGTGGTAGTTCCAGGTGTTTATTGAGATGGACACCTGGGAATGAGAGGTAACATCTCCCCTACTCTCCTCATCTCTCCTCTACTCTCCTCATCTCTCCCCTACTCTCCTCATCTCTCCTCTACTCTCCTCATCTCTCCCCTACTCTCCTCATCTCTCCTCTACTCTCCTCATCTCCCCACTCTCCTCTCCCTCCCCACTCTCCCATCTCCCCCACTCTCCTCATCTCCCCTACTCTCCTCATCTCTCCATCCCCCTACTCTCCTCATCTTCCTCACTCTCCTCACTCTCCGTCTCTCCTCTCTCCTCACTCCCCATCTCCTCATCTCTCCCACTCTCCTCTCTCCTCCCTCCTCCCTCCCTACTCATCTCCCCTACCTCCCCTACTCCTCCCCTCTCCCATCTCTCCCACTCTCCCCCTCTCTCCTCATCTCTCCCCTCTCCTCATTCTCCTCATCTCTCCCCTACTCTCCTCATCTCTCCTCATCTCTCCCCTACTCTCCTCATCTCTCCTCATCTCCTCATCTCTCCCCTACTCTCCCCTACTCTCCCTCATCTCTCCCCTACTCTCCTCATCTCTCCTCACTCTCCCTCCTCCTCACTCT